GGGGGTCATTCGTCGCGTGCGGTTTCGATAATTCGAAAACCGCAACGAGACCAAAAATCAACCGATGATTCAAGCCCGCAATCGAGCCAACGCCGGGCCGCGTGTTATTATCGTATCTCTGAATATAATAATCGGAAACCATAATCGAGTGAACGATCGCGGTTCCTAGAATGCGAATCTGGTGGGATGCCGTGGGAGGAAATACGATTCGTAGCTGAATGTCAACGAAGAATCTGTGGGGGCGAGTAGGGGGAGTAGGGGGGAGGGGGGGAAGTTGAAGAAATCGGTTGATGACCGAATTTTGTGGTTGCAGGGTTCCCGGCGTTCACGGCGGCGGCGGCTGCGGCTGCGGCTGCGGCCCAGAAGGCGAAATTCACCAACACCGACAAGCAGATTGAAGGTCCCGAGGGGTGCAATCTGTTTATCTATCATCTACCGCAGGAGTTTAGCGATACTGACCTGGTCTCGACGTTTCTGCCGTTCGGCAACGTCATCTCCGCCAAGGTCTTCATCGATAAACAGACGCAGTTGAGCAAGTGCTTTGGTAAGAATCGTTTTTTCTTCTTCTTCTTCTTCTCGCATCCCGTTGTTGCGCGTGTGATTCGTCGAAATCTCTTCTCGATTTTCACACGCACAAAAGTGTGTACGTGTATCGAGAACAGAAAGAGTCTCACACACGCACAGTAATAACTAACCTGCTAAAGTAAATCACTTTCAAGACAACGGCGCATGATTTGCAGGTTTTGTGTCGTACGACAACGCGGCGAGCGCGCAGGCAGCGATCCAGGCAATGAACGGTTTCCAGATCGGTATGAAACGGCTGAAGGTCCAACTGAAACGATCCAAGGATGCGTCGAAGCCCTACTAGCCGACGTCCCTCATCGTTCGTAGGTAGATACCAAGGACTTCTTGGATACCACGGCTCGGAATCAACGACCTTGGTGTCCTTACTACTCAAAAAAAAAAAAAAAAAAAAAAAGAAATTCACAATTATTGACACATTCGATAAATCTCGCGACATCGATCATCGATCGCGGGAATGTTCCTCGGTCTGGATAGATAGATAGATAGATAGATGGATTAAATAGGAGATAGATATACTAAATAACTACCCAAATCTAGGTATCCAGCAGTCGTTGCTAGCTCAAAAGAGATTGTCTCTATAGTCTAGTCAAGCTAGTATTTTTCTACGAAGCTCGAAGATAACGTCGTTGATAATCTTCTCTTCTGAAAAAGCCGCGAAATGTTCAGACTTTCCGTTGAAATTCTACGAGTTTAGAGTTTACGTTCGAAACGAGGCTGTGATAATATTGAAGACTTACTTATATCATCATAACTCTGTCCAAAGAATATGTGTCGTTCAATAGGTACGGATCGTACATTCTATAGATATATACGTATATACATATCTAATATATTTTATTTTTAAAAAAAGAGAAAAACGCTCGAAGCAGCTGTAAACGAGAATTATAGTTTCCTCTGGAGTTCAGGTTTCTTCGCCTGGTAGTCCGTCCACGTGAATATGCATCACTCTGGTTATTTTTATATCCAGACGATTGTAGCTGTCTTTTTCTTCGTTCGTTTTTGGCTACTGCTATACCTATATTGTTCGTATTTTTTTTTTTTTTTTTTTTTTTTTTTTTACTTTATTGACCGTTCCACTCTTCGAAATTAATACCACGATAGGGATTACGAGTAATGTCGAAGTTTCATTCTCGTCGAACGTCGCAGTGGTAACTCGAATATTTCGATTTCTGTTTTTGTTGCCGGTGGTAAGATACGACGAACAATTTTTTTTTTTTTTT